GACTAAGTCTGCAGGGGAAAAAGGCACTTTTACAAATACTGGTCCTTCCATTCCGACACCTTGTTGTAAGGGGACAATCACAGTCCATTTTTGTTTGCTTATGCCTTTTCTATACACAACTGGGGCAAGCTTTGACCGACTCGGGGTTCTGTGGGCAACTGGGGTCACTGATTCATTACCATTGCTATCTTTTTCACTCGCATACCTCTTTCTCCTTTCTATCACAGTTAGGTTTTGCTAATCTTCCGAGGAAGAGGGACCAGGTGATGATGGGAGAGGAAGATAAAGAGGGAAAGGTGTACTAGACGAGACAGGCTCAGGACTAGGTGGGTGAGGAGCAGGTAGTGGGATAGGGACAGGTGAAACAGGTGGGATAGGGTTAGGTTCTCTTGTAGCTTTCTTAGCTCCTATTGGAGCTACTTGTAATTCAACATCTGTATAAGTTTCCCTACTCAAGCTTTCTTTTAACGCCAAGTGTTCTAAACAACGTTCCTCACAAACCCCACACTTTGCAGATGTTTTAACCACTAATAATCCACATTCATCCTGCCATTCTGGCTTTCCCTGTAAACAGAAAACGAGATCAACATATGAGACTTCATCCCATTTTCCTTCTTGTTTAAAAAAAAGACATTAACTGCGAAATAGTGTTATATTGCAGAGTACTGTATTTTAGCCATTTTTCACCATTCTCCAAGGCATATTCTGGCCACCATGAATTACAGTAATCAATCAACTTAGTTTTACATAATTCTTCCCCAAAGTTACCATGTTTCCAATGTGCCAATAAGCACCCCAAAGGAGAAGTTTGCAGGATAGGGGTGTTACTGCCCAAAATCCCTTTAAATTTCTCCATTTCAAATACACCACAAATGCCGAACCCGCAATGCTTTTGTGATTGTCTTATGGAACGGCGCCTAGGCTTGTACCAACAGGAATTCCTTTAGCCCAACCAAGCGTAGCTTTTGCTGCGTCTTATTTCGCAGGCATCCAAAACCAAACCAAAGTAAAAAAAGTACCTTACCTTTCTCCCAGGGACGTTGTGAGCGGCAGGAGCAGTCGCGGCCAATGGGCTCCCCAAGAATCCCTCGGTGCTGGCTGGAGCGTGATCGAGTCGCGAACTCGCTCAGCAGCACTCACAATGGTTCCATCTGGGTCGCCAAAATGTTAGCGTTCAAAAACACATAATCACGTAGGGATTATATGCGGTGCTTTTTATTAAAGAGCTCTGGGAATCAGGGTATTACCCAAATTTGATTCCGACCATACATCCGAAATAACTATGTTTTTATGCTCTATCGTTATATAACTTTCATGTTAATTATTAAACTTATATCGTTCAATATACATAAATTTAGCCCCTCTCTGAATTTCCAACATATTTTCTCATTATTCTTCTTCTGGTTATATAGTAATTATATTTAATTACTAAACAATCATCACATCTAACAATTATGTAATTTATCATTCTGCTTATGCAGGTGCAGTTGATCTGGGAAAGCATAAAGATTAACATTTTAGATTCTATCTTTAACTTTTCCCAGAGCTCCACTATCATGGAGAGAGCTGATGTGGCTAGCAAAGGAGCAGGTGCAGTGTCCTCTTGCATCTTTGTGCTGTAGGTTTTTGAATTGATAGAAAGGAACGGACCCCCAAAACTGCAGAAGCCCAGGCACCACTTGGCTCTCCTGCACGACTTCCTCCACTGCTGCCTGCAGGCAGACAAGGACAGGCGCTGCTCTGCCCAGGAACTCCTGCAGGTAAGAAAAAGCAAAGGGGCAAAAAGCCCTATCAGCTGAGGACACCTGCATGAAGGGATGAGGAGGAGTGTGGGCCACGTGGCGCAGACAGCTCCCAGGACAGGAAGGCGCAGGGGGACACGCTGCCCTCGGTGCTCTTGGTGTGTCTTCCTGGTAGCCAGGGAATCCTGCTTGAGCCCGTGAGGATGGGATCCTGGAAAGTAAGAGTTCCTTTCTTTGTTCTTTTTCCTCTGGGCAGCATCCCTTTGTGACCTCAGGCCATCCTGCCTCCATCCTGGCTGCTCTGATCATTTCAGCCAAGCAAATGCAGGAAGACTGGAGAGGAGACACCTGCGCCTGAGGAGACCCTTATGCCCCGCCAGCCGAGAGGAGGGAAAAGGGGATGTGTCATCTTGAGGCAGAGCTCCAGCCATCCCCTGAGTATTAAGAGGAGCTGTGCCATAGATAGGAAATGTGACAGTTTTCATATTTGCTCAGTTTAGGTCTTAGGTTAGGTTAGGTTAGGTTAGGTGTGTTAGGTTCCATTTAAAACTCTGTTGTTTTTTCTTTCTCAAAAAGATGAAAGTTTAAAAAAATTAGGAAATATAGGGATCAACTTCTAAGGACTATGGTGCCGTTGGCGCGCTATATACAGCCACAAACAGAACGGGACACTGAATCAGTGTCGTGAGCTGTTTATTTCAAACATCAGTCTCAGTACATTGTTAGGACAATGGAGACAGGATATGTTTACAGCTCGCTGATTCAAATGGAATGTCAAGGAAACGTCACATTACAGGGTAGCATAAAACCCTCTCAGCCTAAGTTTCAGCCAATCACACATAGAGCAAAACATATTGACAATAATTCTATCCAATCATATGAAACACACGTAACAGTAGTTAACAAAATAAGGACTTATTTTCTAACACAATGGCTCGTTTATGACAGACAAAGCACAGAGGCTCATTCATACTAACCTTCTAAAGATATACATTAAATAAACTTGTTGCAACCTATAAGGGCAAATCACAGGGGCTTATTGTTCTATTTCTCATGTCTGCTCTACTGCTTAGAAAACTTTTTGCTGTATTAGCAATGTTCACAAATCTGCTGTCTGAGGCCTGTTTTTTTTACCACTTTCTCAAAACCCTCAAATTTTATGAATCCCAACATATGGAACATAGATAGCTTAGATAATAGAGGATTGTTTACCTTAGAGTAGAGTGTTGTTAATTTAGGGAAGCTCCGAGGTATCTTTTAAGTAGAAATGAAAGAATTGTCATAATAAGAATTAAGCTGTGAGAGGAAAAGCTGGGCTGCAGCCCAACTGGAGCCTGCAGGCACTCCAAGCTGTCAGCCTGAACAGGCCACCTGCAGGACAGAAGGATGAAGATGGAGAAGTAGCAAGGGGATACTTTGTTTCAGCCTGAGTGACAATAAAAGTCTAAAATATCCAGTGCATTTTAAGACTTCTTTCCTTGCCAGGCTGTAGCTAATCCCTTTCAGAGGCCCAAAGAACATAGTGAGGTAAGCAGCTTTACTTGCCTGAAGTGTGGAATGCCTGTGGGAAGCTGAGAGACTTGCGGGTAATGAACGCCAGGAGATGAGCTCACATTCATGACAACACTAGGAGGCAGATGTGCAGTCCTTGCTGGGCCTCTTGTCTTGGAGATGTCAGGGTGATCAGCAGCAATCACCATTTGGTTCCCACCCTCCTCTCACTATGTCACCTATGGGATGGAATGGCATTCTCAGAGCGGCTTCTGGCCCTTCCTCCCTGATTCTCTTTTCCTCCCTTTTCAGCCCAGAGCCCCAGGAACCATCTGGGCCAGCCTCATCCTGCATGGGTGTGTGCAACCACCAGGGCCTCCTCAGAGCCCCATTCCCACTCTTCTGCCTCCTTGGCCTTTTCCCACATCTGGGCCAGCCTGCTGTTTCCAGGTGTTGGCCATACACACACACAGCATACCACACCTATCAGGGAGCAATTTGATGCAGGAGCCCCTGCTAACCACGGCTCACCAGCCCGGCACTTTTCCCACCCAGCTGTGGCTCCATTTGGACTCCATCTGCTGGGATACCCACTGTGAGGGACTGCTCAGGGCCTGAAAGCTCCTTGAATGGTGTCCACGGGCCTGATTCCATGCCTCCCCATTCCTCCTACCCCTAAGGCTGCCTCAGCCTTCTAAACACAATTGTTCTTACTCTAATGGCTTCCTGTGCTTTATTGCATACTGTAGGCAGGAGTACACAGTTTTGATTGTCTTTATTCTAGAATTAATAAAAAGAAGTTGGAAGTGCTGCTAGAGCTTGTCATTTCAAACTTGAAGCAACTGCAAAAAGTAGAGAAGCTTTCTGTGCAGCTTTTCAGTGAATTTGAAGTCTCCTTCCTCTTCACTCAGTTTCAGCATATCTGTGGATTTTCCTTTGCTGTCATCTTTAAACTTCATCACTTGTCTATCGATCTGTAAAAAATACCCTGTAAACCCAACACAAATTTACTATCCTTTGTATTTTTCCTCTTCTGGAAAAGTTGAGGCTCCTGTGATCTTCTCCTGTGATCTAGACTTTGATTCCCATCTTGGCTCTGGCTAAGAGCAGAACAAATGGAATTTGTTACCTGCTAGTAAGATCTGCTAGCAAAGGTCACAGTTAGAGCTAAGCATGGTGCTTCTCTCCCTCCGTTGAATACACATCTTTGTGTCTAGGCCTGGGGATTTCCAGGAGCACCTGGAAGCTACTGCCAAGGACAAAAGTCTCACTCTTGCTGTTTGGACATGGATTTTTTGGTAGGATTTTGATCTACATCTACAGTGGCCTACAGGAACTGGATCTTTGACACAAAGTGCCTTCAAGCAACATTTCAAAGCATAGTGGGCAATGAAGTCCAGATACTAATGAGTTGTGGTTTGTTTGAACTCTGTGTAACATATGGGACAATATCCCAAAACATGTTATTTTTGAGTGTTTCAGGCATTTGAAACTCAGGCTTATTCTTGTCAACACTTTTCTTTCCTCCCTTCAGAAATCTGCATGCCCAGGTACTAATTTCTTTCTCAGTTTGTCGATAAGTTACCTGTCAGACAATACTTTTTTCTTGAGCCACAGATGGGGCAACTGTCGCCATTAGGCTGGACGTGACGTACACACGTGATCAGGGTACGAGAAGAAAAACGTTTTTTTTATTTTGCGTGTTCTCCGGCTTATACACTCTTAACCAAGCGTGATCTTAAGTCCGCCGCTGGCCTTGGCTCACAGGTGGCCATCAAGCGAGTGTCCCAGGAGCGCATCTCAGAGTGGGCACGGATGGTGAGTGAGCGGGGCCAGTGGGAGGAGCCGGCGGAGTGTGCCGGGCGAGGTCCGGCAGGGCGGCAGCGAGGGCAGCGAGCGTGGAGTGAGTGGAGGCCGCGCAGCGCCCCGGGCCAGGTCATGGCGAGCCACAGTGGGGCCGGGCAGGGGCTGCCCGAGGCACAGTGCAGCATCAGCCCCGCTGACGGCATCGCGGTCCCCCCACAGCACAAGGGCACCCTTGTGCCCCTGAAGCCGGCGCTGCTGTGGAAGGTGTTGCGGCCTGGCTTCTGCAGCGTCATGCAGCTCCTGGACTGGTTCGAGGTGCCCGAGGCCTTCGCGCTGCTCATGGAGCGTCTGCAGCGCTGTCAGCACCTCTGGTACTTCCTGCACGAGCGGCAGTTCCTGACAGAGCCCGTGGCGCGGGGACTGTTTTGCCAGGTGTTGGAGGCTGTGCGGTGCTGCAGTAGCCGCAGTGTCCTGTGCCACCACATCAAGGCCGAGAACGCCCTCATCGACCTGGCCACGGGTGAGGCGAAACTCCTGAACTTTGGCTGCAGCACGATCCTCCAGGACACGTTCTACACCCAGATGTCAGGTGAGCCTAAAGCCGAGGCCCAGCCAGGCAGCGGAGGTTCCCCCCTTGGCTGGCAGAGGGGGAAGAGGGAGGGAAGGAAGGAGGGAAGGAAGGAGGGGGAATCCTTCTTCAGCCAGATGCAGCCAAGTTGCTTTTTGGCAGGGCAGGGGCTGGCTGTTGTGGAACGGGAGCTGGCTGGGAGGGAGGAAGCAGCATGGGCCTGCTGAGCTGCGCCCGTGTCCCATAGGAACATCAGAGTACAGCCCACCGGAGTGGATCCTCTTTGGCTGCTACCATGGCCAGCCAGCCACCATCTGGTCCCTGGGCATTCTGCTCTGTGAGCTGGTCTGCGGGCACCTTCCTTTCCACACCAACGAGGACATCGTCCAGGGCCAGCTCTTCTTCCCAGCACGGGTGTCTCAAGGTGGGGATGCGCCTGCAAGGCGCGAGGGGAAGAATGGGGTTGTGAGAGGCAGCTGGTACATAAGTGTCCTACTCTTGCAGCTGATGAGGAGTGGATCTCCTGGGCTCAGCTGGAGGAGGTGGCACCTGTGCCTCTGTGCTGGTGTCCTCCGCAAGAGAGGATCAATAGGAAGCTTTTGGGGGCAGCTCTGAGCACTCCTGGTGGCCTGGGCACTGTGGAATGTGGGAGAGCATGGACAGGAGCCTTGTCCCGCTGAATGGCGGTTTCTGGTTTCTCTCCGCAGAGTGCCAGCACCTCATCAGGTGGTGTTTATGCATGGACCCCACAGACAGGCCATCACTGGAGGACCTTTTTGAGCATTCTTGGCTACAGGAGCCCTGCCTGGCCCAGGAGGCAGCAGAGATGCATCCCTGTGCACAGTAGGATCCAGGAGCCAGAAAGTAGCACCGGCACGCGTCTTGTGGTGCTGGAAGAAAACCCCGGAGCATTTCCCTGCGGCTGCGGTGCAGAGGAGAGAGCGCAGCCGGGGAGATGCTTCCACTGGTCCCCCCGAGCTGTGGAGGGAGCGGCTCCATGCTGCTCGTCCCATTGGAGAAGTGGTGGCAGTGCGATGAAGGTGCCACGGACTGGGACAGTGGAAACATCCCCCTGCAGCTCAATGGCATCGTGATGTCCTCGCAAGCCGAGGTACAGCTGGTGCGTTCTTCTGGAGCACAACGTGGAGCTGGGAACACCATCCATGGAGCAAAGGTTATTATGGCCAGGTGCATCTTGGCACTCAGTCAGGAGCACCCTGTTACCTTTGGGGATCCCCCTGAAATACCTTTCCCCTTACATCAGCCTGTTGCATATTCATAGACCCTCATGCATATCCATAAACTACTTTACATATTCCAGGAATGATTTTACATGGCCCCTCCTTGGGTCTGCCTTTTCAGAGCATGTGTGTTTCTTGGCTGTGGTTTTGGCTCCTTCTCTTTATCACCTCCAGCTTTTGGGCCTTGGTCCACTCTGCCTTCAGACAGGGAGTGCTGAGAGTTGGCAGATCTGTACAGGTGTCCTCATCCTGTGTGCATTGGATGCTATCCCATCCAAGCAGGCAGTTTAACACAAGCAGCTATTTCACTGAGCTTAATTAGCAACAGAAATAAAAACTATAGAACAAAGTTACTTTAAAAATGGTCCCAGCCCATATTTGATCCCAGTCTGATCCATATGATCCCAGACCCTGGGATCCCAGTCCATAGGATCCCAGTCCATATTTGATCCCACTCCAGGCTAGCCTGGTCTGGAGGGTTCTGATCCAGAGGATCCCATCCATGTTATCCCTGTCCAAGTGATCCCAGTCCAGGTGATTCCAGTCCATATTTGATCCCAGTCCAGTTGATCCCAGTCTGTGTGGTCCTGATCCATATGGTCCCACTCTGTGCAGCCCCAATCCAAAGGATCCCAAACCATATTTGATCCCAGTCCATATTTGATACATGACTGTATGGTCCTGCACACACTCCCAGGGTCTGGAATTCCAGTTCCCAGCCAGGAAAAAATGTGCCTGTCCTTGAACTTCCTCCTATCCTCTCAACAAATTGCAATAAAATTATAAACAAAGATAATAATTGAAATTTTAAAAAGTAGAATAAAAATGAAGTATAAAAATCTCAACTCTTCTTTACAATACTCCAATGATTCAACCTAAACCAACAACTAATACTATAATATTACCAATGCATATAAATAAACAAATTATATATCAATAAATACCTTTTGAAAGTTTTACCTCAATAACTAATATACTTTAGATATAGAAAATCTAAAAAAATTAACATACAATCTAACACACCTTAGTAAAACAATTCACATTACAAATATACAAAACACAAACCAAACACCACTATAATTTCTCAGACATTTTAACCAAACAATTAAACTTTAATACCATCCTTAAGTACTCTAAAACAATTAAAATAATTTTTAAAAGATTTATTGGGGGTGTGTGGTTTTATTTGGATATTGGTTTTTGAATTGTCAGTGGCTAGATGATTTAAAAAATGGGACTTTTATAGGAATTTAATCAGATGACAAAGTGGGGTGCTGCAAACAGAACTGACTGAAAATGAATGGGACAGAAATCAGTAACTCTTAAAATTTTATCTGCTACCAAATACATCCCACACACCCAGCCAGCCCCACAAAATCCCCATCCCATTGCTCCAAATTGGGACCCACTTCTACCAATTGTCTCCCGACCCCAACTCACCCTGCTGCCTGTGGAATGGAGTGAGTTTGGCCTGGGACTGTTTTGTTGCGAAAGGAACAAGCAATTTGAAGGAGGTAGGATTGAGCCTTTTTGGGTTAAAATTCAGTTATTTTCAGAAGGATTTAGAGTGGTTTGGAAGTGACAGATTGATCCCTCGTGGCATCTAGAGGGGAAAAACATGGAGAAGAGAAAAAAATTAAGGCCGAACCAAAAGGAGAAGCAGGCAGGTGTGTTCCCAACATGGATCACAGGGAATGTGAGTGACCAGGGCTGTGCCCAAAGTGCCTCCTCCAGTGGGGGATGGAGCTGGAGCAGCGCACGAAGCTCTTCCCGCACTCGGGGCACTTGCAGGGCTTCCCTCAGTGGTGCCTCCATTGGTGTTTGGCCAAGTTAGAGCTGCTGGAGAAGCTCTTCCCACACTGGGGACACTCAAAGGGCCTCTCCCCAGTGTGGATGCACCGGTGTCTGACGAGGTGGGAGTTGCACTTGAATCCCTTCCCGCAGTTGGGGCAGCGGAAGGGCCTCTCCTCTGTGTGACTCGGATAGTGCTGGAGGAGATGGGTGCTGGTCTGAAACTTCTTCATACACTCGGAACACTCGGAGGGCCTCTCCCCAGTGTGGATCTTTTTGTGGACAATCAGGTGGGAGCTCTTCCCACACACCCCACACTGATGGGGCCACTCTCCAGTGTGGATCCTCTGGTGGCAGATCAGGGTGGAGCTCTGGCTGAAGCTCTTCCCACATTCCTCACACTCATGGAGCCTCTCCCCAGTGTGGATGTGTCGATGCACGACAAGATGGGTGTTTTGCCTGAAGCCCTGCCCGCAGTCGGGGCAACGGAAGGGCCTCTCCTCTGTGTGTGTGTGCTGGTGCTGGAGGAGATCAGAGCTGGTCTGAAACTTCTTCCTGCATTGATCACACTCATAGAGCCGTTCCCCAGTGTGGGTCCTCTGATGCCTGATCAGGTTGGAGGTCTGGCTGAAGCTCTTCCCACACTCCCCACACTCAAAGGGTCTCTCCCCTTTGTGTGTCTTCTGGTGGCTGATCAGGTTGGAGCTCAGGCTGAAGCTCTTGCCACACTCCAAGCACTTGTGGGGCTTCTCCCCATCATGGACCTGCACATGGAGCACCAGCTCTGAGCTCTGGCTCCATCTCCAGCCACCTTCCCGGCCCAGGCTGGCTCTTTCCCCCTCAGATCCCAGCCAGCTGCGTTTGCAGCCCCTCCTCGTGCAGCATCTCCGGGCCTTTTCCTCCCCGTTGTCTTCCTGCACCGTGGAGCTGCTCAAAATGGCCTCTTCCACCAGGTTCTGCCGTGGGCATTTGTCCTCCCTGCTCTCCATGCTCAGCTCCTGCTCTGGGGGAGGAAGGACAAGGACAGGATGGGATTTGCCTCCATGCCACAGGCAAGGGCAAGGAGATCTCCCCAGGGCTGTGCTGCAGCCGGGGCCGTGCTGGGCTGGGAGATGATGCAGCACAGAGGGGAAAGGGGCACTGACTTCCTCCTCATCTGCCTCAGTGTCCCGGGGCATCTTCCTCTTCTTCGCAGCCTCCCAGGGCTTGGCAATGGGAAATCCTGGTTTTGGGGAAAACAAGGGATGAGCACGTTGAGGCTGAAGCGCCCTCTGCCCAAGTCCATCTCTACAAGTCACCGGCCCTCTGGGCGGCAGAAAAGCCTCCCAAACACCAAGATTCAGCCCTGAAAAAGTCTCCCAGGAGTTCCCCGTTCCTGCTCCCTCCCCTTTCGTGTTCAGGGGTTCCCCCTGTCCCATTTGCTGGGGTCATGCTTGGATTGGGGCCCCCCATTCTCATCGGTGCCCGCCCTGCCCAGGCTGCTAGCAGTCCCAGCAATGCCAAAAGCTCCCCCTTTTTCTCTCTCCCCATTTCGGGATGCTGGGGCCGTTTGGGCTCCCGGGCTCCCTTCTCCCCTCATTCTCTGCTCTGGGCTGCAGCGGCTCCAGGGAGTCCCCCCTGCCCCTCTCCAGGCTCTTGAGGCTCCCGCCAATGGCGGCGCTCCCCCTCTCTGGGCTCACCACTTCGGGCTCCTGGAGGACACAGGGCTCTGCTCCTCCAGGCTGCCTCTGCCGGCAGCCGCCACCGGGACCCCCCGATGTCCCCCCGAGGGGCCTTTTCCGCTCAGCCTTGGACTGTTTCATTCTCCAAACATGCCCCCAAAAACCCAACTGGGAGATACTGGGAGTGACTGGGAACATGCTGGAGATGACAGGGATCATACTGGCACGGAGTGTCACTACACTGAGGCTGACTGGGAGTGCTTGTGACCCAATGGGATCATACTGGAAGGGACTGGGTGTGACTGGGAACATGATGGAGGGAACTGGGCTACACTGGGACATACTGGGAGTGACCAGTACAAAAGTGAGGGTGAAAGAGAGCAACTGGAACCATGTGGAGCAAACCTGGTTCACACTGGCAGGGACTGGGAGCACACTGGGCTCATCTTTGGATCATACTGGTAGGGACTGGACTAATACTGGGTGTATCTGAGGTCGACTGGGAACACATCCTGCACGTCATCCCCCATACTGGGCCTGACTGGGAGCAACTGGGAGCAAGTGGCATCATACTGGGACTGACTGGTCTGATATAGGATGCAACTGGAACCACACTGGAAGCAGCTAGGACCATACTGGGAGAGACTGGAAGCAACTGGGATTATACTGGGACCACACTGGGAGGGCTGGCATGTGACTGGGATCAAACTGGAGCTTACTGGGATCACATTGGGGTTGAAAGGGAGTGACTGGGATCACAGTTTGGGCTACTGGGAGCAACTGAGAGAAACTGGGATGATGCTGCAACCAAACTGGAGGACTGGGGAGGACTGGATGCCTGCTGGAGGCAACTGGGATATTCTGGGCATGACTGGGGGATCATACTGGGAGAACTGAGACCTTACTGGGGCTACTGGCAGTGCCTGGAAATGACTATAGACATGCTGGAGGCAATTGGGATATACTGGGAGTGTCTGGAACCATATTGGGAACAACTGGAACCATGCTGGGGAGAACTGGGACCACACTGGGAGCAACTGGGAGTGAGTGGGACTGTGCTGGGAGGGACTGGGATCATGTGGGGAGTGACTGGGACAACTCCCAGGGCAACTGGGTCCAAGTGGGACCATACTGGGAGTGTCTGTAACCACAGGGGAGTGATGGAAGCACACTGGGAACAGCTGCGCCCATGCTGGGAGCAACTGGGATCACACTGGGGACACTGGCATCAGACTGGGAGCGACTGGGAGCAACTGGAATTAGACTGCAAGTGACTGCGATCATACTGGGAGTGGCTACACTCATACTGGGATTATACTGGGTGTGAATGAAACCTGACTGGGGGTTACTGGGAGCTACTGGGCCCATGTTGGGAGGAAAATGTGACACACTGGGAGCAACTGGGATCGGCTGGAAGGTACTGGAACCATGCTGAGAGGACTGAGACTACAAGTAGGGCAAGTGGGACCACCCTTTGAACAACGATATAAACTGGGATTATGCTATAGGAAACTGGGAGTAACTGGGAAAGACTGAGATAATTCTGCGGTAACTAAAACATACTGGGAGCGTCTCTAACCATACTGGGGGCACTGGAACCACACTGGGAACAGCTGGGAGCAACTGGGATGATGCTTGGGGAAACTGAATCTACCCTGGAGGCAACTGGGCATGACTGGGACCCTGCTGGGAGGGACTGGGAGTAATCTTGGAGCAACTGGGATCATAATGGGAGGAACTGGGAATGACTGGAATTATGCTGGCAGCAACTGGGATCACACTGGGATCACAGTGAGAGCAGCTGAGTCCATACTGGGTTACACTGGGATCTCATTGAGAGCGACTGGAATCATACTGGGATTGACTGGGAGTGGCTGGTTTTGTGGATTTTGGGGGGTTTGGATTTGGGGGGATTGTACTGGCATTTTTAGGGGGAGTTTTTCTGGGGGTGTTTGGGGGTTTATTGAAAATTTTTGTGACTCTTTTTGAATTTTAGGGGTTTTACTGTGATTTTCTCAGGAATTTTTGGTATTCTCAGAAATTCTTAGGTTTTATTGGGATTTTTAGTAGATTTTGGAGCATTTTAGTAGAATTGCGGTGGCATTCAGTGGGATTCATTGGGGATTTGGGGTTTTTGGGAATTTTGGTGGGATTTGTTAGGATTTATGGGGGTTTTTGGGTGTTGCCAGGATTTCTTTGGATCTTGGGAAGATTTTGTGGGACTTTTTATGGTTTTGGGGGCATTTTGGGGGGATTTGCGGAGTTTAATCAGGATTGTTTTGGGCTACTGGGATTATAAAGAATTTTGTGGGCTTTTATTGGGATAGTGTTCTAATGGGAATTTGAGAGATGTAATTGGGATTTAGTGGGTTTTATTGGGACTTTTGGGGCTTTTAAGGAGATTTAGGTGCCTCTCAGCCCCTCCCCACACCTGGGAACAACCTCAAAGCACCCTCAGACCACCCAAGGCCCCCCAAAATCCCCTAAAATTATAATAGGATCCTCCAAAACCGCAGACAATCCCACAAAATCCCAGTGGAACATAACAAAATTTAAAAATACTCCCAAAACTTTCAAGAAATCCTCCCTCCAAAAAAACCACAACCCCAATAAAAACCCCCAAAATCCAAAACAACCTAAAGTCCTGAAACCCCTCAAAACCCAATAATTCTCCCCTAAACTCCCAATAAAATCCCCCAAAGCCAAAAAACGCTCTCCAAAATGCCCAAAAACGCCTCCCAAAATCCCCTCAAAATCCACCCCAGACTCAGTGGGGCCATCCTGGATCAGGGGGCACTGGCCGGTGGAACAGCAGACACTTCAGGGGGCCCTCGGAGCTTTTTGGGGAGGGGGCACCATGGGAGACCCCCCCCAAAAACCGGGGGGGGAGGAAACCCCTGCTGTGCCCCCTCCCCACGAAACCCCCAGACCCCGGTTCAGGGTGGGCCTGGGACCCCCCGGGACCCCCAAATCTCACCTGGGACCCCTCTAGGAACCCCAAACCCCCCAGAGCTCCCCCAGGGTTGGCCCAGAACCACCCTGGACCCCAAAAACCTCCCCAGGACTCTCAGACCCCCCCAATTCCCCCCAAAATTCACCCCAGACCCACCTGAGAACCCACCAAAATCCATCAGACTGCCCCACATCCCCCTGAGACCCTCCCAATTCCCCTCAGATCTCCCTAAACCCACCTGAGAAGGCTCCAGACCTTCTCAAGCTCCCCCCAAAGCTCCCTAAAGCCCCCTCAGACCCACCAAAGCAGCCTCAGACCCCCGCATTCCCCCCAAACTCACCGCACACCCCCCTATTTTTCCGTCGATGCCCCCAGAAATCCCCAATTTCCCCTCAGACCCGCCCCAAACCCCCTCAGCTTCCCCTGGGCCCCACCTCAGCTGCTGTCCCCTCAGAAACGCCCACCTCCGCCACGTGCGCGGGCTGCCAACAATAGCGGCGCGCTCCGCCGAATCAACCAATCACCGGGCTGCACTCTACAAACCAACTAATCACGGCGTGGCTCCCCTCAGCAACGCCCGCCTCTGCCACGCCACCCCAGTCAATCAGAGGCGAGCCGGAAGTGGCGCTTCCTCGCCTGCTGGTCCCGGTCCCCCCGGTCTCGGGCGGGTCCCCTGGGATGCTCTGGGAGCAGCGGGAGCGCTCCGGGAGCTGCTGAGGTGGCCGGGACAGGAGCGGGAGGGGCCTTAGAGGGGATCGGGGGAGGGTCTAGGGGGCTCTCAGGAGGTCCTGGGCCAACACTGGGGGTCTCTGGGGTGTTTGGCGTTCCTGGAGGGGTCCGGGGGAGATTTGGGGGTCCCGGGGGTTCCCAGGCCCACCCTGAACCGGGGTCTGGGGGGAGGGGGCACAGCAGGGGCTCCCCCCCTCCGGTTTTTGGGGGTCTCTCATGGTGCTCCCCTCCCCAAAAAGCTCCGAGGGCCCCCTGAAGTGGCTCCTGTTCCACCGGCCGGTGCCCCCTGATCCAGGACAGCCCCACTGAGTCTGGGGTGGGTTCTGGAGGGATTTCTGGGGGCTTTTTGGGTGGGATTTTGGGAGGGTTTTGGAGGATTTGGAGGTGGCTTTTTGGGCTTTGGGGGATTTTGTTGTTTAGGGGGGAGTTATTGGGTTTTTGGGGAGAATTATTGTATATGGGGGCGGGGAGTGGATTTGGAGGGTTTTGGATTTTGAGGGAGTTTATTGGTTTTGCAGGGGGTTGATATTTTGGGGGGAATTTATTGAAAATATTGGGAGCATTTTTTAATTTTGGTGAGTTTTGCTGGGATTTTGTGGGATTCCCTGGGGTTTTGGAGAATCTTATGGTAATTTTTACTGGATTTTGGGGGGGTTTAGTGGAATTTTGGGGGCCTTGGGTGGTCTGAGAAGGCTTTGAGCTTGTCCGTGTGTGTGGAGAAGGGCTGAGAGGCATGAAAATCTCCTCAAAACACCCAAAAGTCCCAATAAAACCCCTAAAGTCCCAACTAAAGTCCCTCCCAACTAAACCTCACAGAATCCCATTAGAACACCCTTGAATCCCAATAAAACCCCACAAAATCTCTTGAAATCCCAAAAACCGCCCCCCCCCCCCAAAATCCCGGTTAAACCCCAGAAATCCCCCAAAAATGTCCCCAAAACCACAAGAAACCCCACAACCCACCCCCTCAAAACTGAAAGAAATCCTGGGAACACCCAAAGTCCAAAGGTCTGTTGTGCCATTGCAGGATCATGGAACAGAAGAGTCACGTGACATTGTGGGGCCTGGGGAACCACAGAGACCATTGTGACACTGCAAGGCCTCATGGAATCATTGGGACCATTGTGACACTTGGAGCCTTCTGGAACCCGGGGGCCACTTTGACATTGTGCGACTCCACTGAACCAAGGGTCCATTATGACACTGCTGGACCCCATGGAGTCAAAGCACCATTGTGACATTATGGGTCCTCTTAAAACCAAGGGGATACAGAGCATATCTGACTGGTTTCTCCTCCCATGGACTGCCTGAGTGGTCCAACTGACCTTGGCATGTTGAAGGTCGTTTCTCATCTGCTGCTGAAACACTGGGGTTCTGTGCTTTCCTTCCCAATGGGAAAGATCTGTCCTCCTGCAGGCACCCATGGCCAGAATTGTGATTTCACCTCCAAGTTTCCTTATATCCAGGGATTGTTCCCATAGGAATACTTCCAGGACAAGTCTGGCTGGCAGTGGTTTCACAAGGGTCACGTCTCTTCTATCCACAAAATACTGGGGAAGGCTCTGTGCTCTCCTTCCTTTGGGAAAGAACTGTCCTGCTTCTCCAGGAACCCATGGCTGAGACTGGGGTTCCACCTCCAAAATTCCCTGTATTCAAACACTGCTCCCAAACAAAATCTGCCATTACTGACAAGTCTGCCTGGCCTTGGCCCAGTGAGGCTGTCACCTGCCTTCCAAACACTGGGGCTCTGTGCTTTCCTTCCTATGGAAAAGAAGTGTCCTTCTAGTCCAGGTGCGCATGGCCAGAATTGGGGTTCCACCTCCAACATTCCCAATTGTGACAGACTGGAGGAGATTGTTGGCTCAAAACATTTCATGTGTGGGGGAGGAAGGGGCAGGTGCAGCCTTGCCCTGCCCTGGAACCCCAATCCCCCCAGAGCCTCTATCCCAGCCCAGCAGTGTCTGCCAGTCCCTGGCACAGCACAGGAAATGCTCCACAGCCACCTCTGCAGCCCCCAGCCCAGCTCCTGAGGGACCAAATGAGCCCAAGTCCCACCTGGGGGAAGGGCCCAGCAAGACCCAGGGGTATTGAAGGCTGACCACAAGGCAAGCACACATCTTGACCCTGCTTCCTCTTGGAATTTCCATCTGAACAACACTGGAATCCAGGAGTTGGTAGCTCTGTGTGTGCTCCTCTGTACTTTTTATGTCTTTCTCTCTTTCTAATTCCCTCTTTTTGCAAATTTTGATTAACATTACATTGAACAGGCTTAGAGTTTGTGAAGCTGAACGGGCCAAGGTAATGCTTTGAGAAGTGTTTTCTGTTGATTGAATGTTGTATTAAACATTTTGCCAAAGTTTCTCTGCTTTTCTAAAGTTCGCAATAAAGACTGTTTAGTTGTTTTGAGCTCCTAAGAATCTCTTGTTGGTATTTCTCCAGTACATCCAACTCAGAGGACACAAATAATTGTAATTCCTTTTAAACGTCTCATTGAGGGAGTTTTTTAGGGAATGGCAGTCAGGCACAGCCCAGGCAGGGCTTTCCCAGCCACATTCCACACTCCGTTTCCCAGCTGGAGCCGCTGCTGCCTCTGAGTTGTGCTGCCCCAGCCCCAGGGACGCTCTCCTTGTCTGCCCATTCCCCCACGGTCTCTGGGCAGGGATGGCCTCAGTGGGAGCTGCTGACATCCTCAGCACCTTGGAGGCTGCTGCTGAATTTTCCTGCTCCAGAGACTTGTTCAGCCTTCAGCTCTTCAGTGCAGGAATTCAGTGGCCCAGGGCTCATTAACATTCAGAACACCTTAAGAACCCAAGCCCCTGGGAATAATTTGATTTAAGTGTTCAGATCTTTTATGGTTGATTAGTCAGATTTCAGAAGCCAATTCAATGTGAATACCCTGAGATTAAAAAGACAGCAAGAAAATATTTTTTTAGGTCTTGTAATTTTTTTTTCACTAGTAATTCATTGACATGTGCAATCTCCAATTGACATTGAATCCAAGTACCTCCTCATGCAGTTTGAATAGATATGAAAATCAAGACCCTTCATGGCTGACAATCAATCAGACTCTGTCCCTGCCCCCACCCCACCATTTCCCCCATCCAAGGCTGGCACTCAGAGCAGCCTTGTGCAAATCTGAGCTCCCTCCAGCCTACACTGGACCTACCCAACAGACCACAGTTGAACAGGATACAATTTAATAACAATCACACAATTAAAATAACAATCACACAATTACAAACTCTTCCCTGAGCCATGTGCAACGTCCCAGCAGTGTCTGATGAGTCCATCATTCACAAGTGATTTCCATACTAAAACTTACTTCACACAAATATGGTTCTGTGATAGATATAAACACAATTAACTTCTTGTATCAGGATTCTCGTCCTGGACTGAGGACAGAACAGCTCAAACAATTCCTGATTTGCAAAGCTCTCAGTGGTGGATGGAGAAGGGAGGTCAGGCTGCTTTTGGTCTTGAGGAAATGCTGAAACCAGCCTGACTCATTTCATCTCCTCCTGTCCTGTCTGATCTCCCCTCTTTCCTCTTCCACCCATTGGCTTTTGTCTCCCACCAGGCCCCCCAGAGAAGAGCCTGGCTCTGTGTTCTCCATCCTCTCCTCGCTGGCACTGCCAGGCTGGGCTGAGGAAGGACCCTCAGCCTTCCCTGCTCCAGGCTGGACCAGCCCAGCTCCCTCAGCCTCTGCTCACAGCTCCAGACAAAATTGATTCTTCTCCAAAATTCTCTACATGCAAGGGTTTCTCCTGGACAAAAGCTGAAAGGACAGACAGGCCTGGCTCAAGTTGGCTCTGGTGGTCGCCTCTAATCTGCCCTGGAAACACTGGGGCTCTGTCCTTTCCATCCTGAGGGAAAGAACTGGCCTTCTCATCCAGGTGCTCATGGGCTGAAATTGGGATTCTTCCCCCAAAATCCCGTATATCTGGGATACAGAATATTTATACCTGAGATACAAGATATTTATTCTCTTGCTCCCAGATGAAAGCTGCCAGGACAGACAGATCTGGCTGGTCTTGGCCTCTAGTGGCTGCTGTTTATCAGCTCCTGGAAGACTGGGGCTCCATGCTTTCCTTCCTGCTTTCCTTCCTGGGGAATCATGATGACACTTCAGGGCCTCATGGATCCAAGGAACCATTGTGACACTGTGTGGCCTCGTGGAACCAAGGACATCATTGTGACTCTGTTGGGCGGCATGGTCCCAAGAGGCCAGTGTGAAGCAGCAGGGCTGTGTGAAGCCAAGAGGCCATTGCTGCATTTCAGGGTCCCGTGGTGCCAAAGGACCACTGTGACCCTGCAGGGCACCGTGGATCCATGGAGAGCATTGTGGCATTGCAAGGCCCCATGGAATCATGGAGACCATTGTGACACTGTGGGGTGCCACAGAACCAAAGGGCCTCTGTGACCCTGCAGGGCCTCTTGGAAGCACGGGGACATTGTGACACTGCAGAAGCAAGGAGGACATTGTGACACTGCAGAGTGCCATGAAAGCAAGGGAACATGGAACAGATCTGGCTGGCTTGGCCACCCAGGGCCCACTTGACAGGCCCAGCTGATCTTGGAATGTTGAGGGCTGCCATTCATCAGCCCCTGGAGAACTGGTTCCCAGTGCTTTCCTTCCTATGGAAAAGAACCATTTGTCCTTCGAGGTGCCCACAGCCAAAATTGATACTCCCCTTGAAAATTCCCTGTATGCAAGGGTTCTCCCAGACAAAAGATTCCAGGACAGAGAGCTCTGGCTGGCCTTGGCC